AGAGAGAGAGAGAGAGAGAGAGAGAGAGAGAGAGAGAGAGAGAGAGAGAGAGAGAGAGAGAGAGAGAGAGAGAGAGACTCAGAGAGCACACGGACCGACGGTCCAGAATTATGGGCGTCAGGACGCAAATGGAGGTTTTCGTAGTAAATTTTTACAAGTGCTTGGCCTGTGCGGCGAAAACATTAATGACAATGATAGCTCTCCTCCTTGATCCTGAAAGTGACACAGTCTGAGAGGTGATTCGTCCGATTACCACATCTGGACAGACACAATAAGGTCGTGAAGAACTACCGTATCAGTCCGTCGCATACGCGGAATCGGTGTTTCTCATCGTTTTCGACGATCTAGCCCCGTCGTGTTCCTGCGTCCTGTTGGAATCGCAACTAAATGCAAATGATACAATGCTTATGCGGGGTGCACTGCCGGTAGGGGTAGTCTTGCTTCGCATGATACAACTATTGAGAGCCTGAGAGGGAACGGAGCGTGCCGTGCGGTACGTCATGCATGGTACGAGGGAGTAGATATACATTTTTTTATTTTTATTTTTTTTATTTTTTTTTTCTGGTATCGAGTCTTTTTTGGCGAATGCAACGTGTGAGTGAAAAGGAACTAATCTACAGTCGAACCTGTTGATCGTATATGAGGAAATCAATGACCAACATTACTCTTACTCGCACTTAATTACCCCCCCCCCCTTCCAAACAAAACGAATATATAAACAAGACAAGAAGCACACAGTCACGGCAGTTGCGGCACGACTGAAGCGCAGGCACCATACTCGTGAAAGTTTGCAAGCTATAAATGTGGTCCCGCAGATCGATTGAGGGTGAATAGCAGCTTCTTTCGGCGTAGTTTCTCGAGGCGTTTTTTTTTTACTTGCTCCAGATCCAGCTCCGTCACAGGAATTTACTGGAAATATCTAGGGGTGGTGTGGGGGCCCCACCGGGACCACGATGGGGCCACGAACACATTGATTGCGGTGGCAGACCCTCCGGTGGCCACAATGCCAGTCCCAGCAGCACTCAACACATCTATGGCGGCAGCACTTCTGACCACGCCAACGGCAGTCCCAGTCAGAATGGCACCACCCTCCTCCGCAATGGGGACCGTTGCATCCACCACCACCTCCACCACGGAGCCCACGTTTGGCCTCCTCTCCTTCGCGGATGCCCTGGGGATCGTCTCTCCCCTGAACGAGCAGCACGGCCACCACCAGGAGGGTGATGGCCAGCAAACATACGACGGCCGGCTTCTTCATGATGCTATTCTTGCCTCGAACTTCTTCTCCCGCTTCTGGCAGACAAGATCGGTGGCTACCTGCTGCTCAGCACGCACGCACACATGAAGACACACAAACGGCAGATAACATCAGAGCTTTTGTTTAAGAACGCAGCTTTGGTTTAAAACAGCCATCCATTATGATAGAAAGTATCTATGCTGAGGTCCGTGCATGCTCAGCTATTGCCGCCCTCATGCAGCACCTTTGCGAGGGGGAGGTAAAAGACGGTCAATCCGATTCAAGCAAGCGTAACATACAAACCAACCATGCACGCAGGCAGAAACGAAGATTGCCGGTCCGGGAGGAGTTGGGGGGGGGAGAGGGAGACAGAGCTACGGAACGTGCAAAACAGACACCCACGCACCGCATCCACAAACGTGCACACAAACACAGACACACACACGCACGAGACTCCGACGAGAGAGAGAGAGAGAGAGAGAGAGAGAGAGAGAGAGAGAGAGAGAGAGAGAGAGAGAGAGAGAGAGAGAGAGAGCTGCCCTCAACGACAACGATGGTCAGACTATCCGGAAAGCAGTTTTCGAGATCTGGGAGAGGGAGTCGAGGAGGTGTCAGGAGATGGAATACGAACAACGAGGATGTGGAAGAAGGCGGAAACTTCAAACTCTTGCTGGTTCTTCGGTCAGATCACGGCATCTGCTCTTGGAGCTCTCTGTCTTTCTCTCTCCCGCTGGGAAGTGGGCAGGAAATGCATATGGTACCGCCAATGCCTCCTTTATAGGTTCAAACTTCACAGTACAGACTGCGGATAGACGACAAGAGCCGGAAGAGTTTGGGTGGGAAAGTAGGGAGGGGGGGGGGGTCTTACGGACGTAATTGCGGCCACGTACATCCGGCCGCAAATGCGGTCACCAACATTTAGAAAAGTGCGCTGGTGTGAGTGTGCCCTAACGTTGGCCACTCGAACTGTACCTTCCTATCTATCTGGCTTTTTTTTTCTTTTTTTTTTTTCTAACTATCTGGCTTAATTTCAAAAGTATTGCTGTTTCGAAGTTTGGCAGCAAAAATGTCGTTCGTTCGAAGTTTCCTTTGCAAAAATAGAGGTTTCCTTGCAGCTTCATCTGGTTCCCGTAGTTTGCCAGCAAAAGTACCGGGTTTCGCCAAGTTTCACAGCAAAGGACCCCTAGGCCCCTGGCCTCAGGGACTCAGGGACTCAGCGTTCCGGCCTCAGGCACTCAGCTTTTCTTTTTCTTTTTTTTTTTTTCCTTTTTTTTTTTTTTCGCGGGCGTGACCGAGGCATCCCGGCCTTGCCCATGTTTCTTGTTTTTTTTTTGTTTTTTTTTTTGCGGCCGTGGCCGAGGCATCTCAGCCGTGGGCACGCCCAGATGCGTAGGCCATGCCCCCCCCCCCCCCCCCGAAAAAAAAAAACAAAGCTGAGTGCCTGAGGCCAGAACTAGTCCCTGAGGCCCTGAGGCCAGATGCCTAGGGTCCTTTGCTGTGAAACTGAGCAAAACGCCGTATTTTTGCTGGCAAACTACGGGAACCAGATGAAGCTGCAACCAAACTTCGAAAGAACGACATTTTTGCAAAAGAAACTTCGAAAGGACGACATTTTTGCAAAAGAAACTTCGAAAGGACGACATTTTTGCTGCCAAACTTGGAAGGAGCAATATTTTTGCTATTATTCCATCTATCTATCTATCTATCTATCTATCTATCTATCTATATTTTATATATATTTCAACGAGGTCCAGTACTGGGGTTGATCAAAGCACAATCACTTCGGTGGTGAGCAACCTCCCTGCTGGAAGTCGGGTCCAGCCTCCCATTACCGAACTTATCCGCACCGCTGTCCAGATACATCAGAGGCGGCGGGTTTTATTTCTTTCCCTTTTTTTTTTTTTTCAAGGAAGAGGGTCCCAACTTGGTGGGCACGCCCTCCTGTCCAGAGCAACTTGATGGTCAATGCGCCAGTCCCACGGCCGCCATAAACCCTGCGTGTTCTACTCTCTCGAAGTCCACTGTGACACCAGCACACACTCCCTAACAAGCTAACCAGCAAACACGAAGTTGGTTGTGTTTGACTGACTGTGGCCATACTCACACGGGACGCAAGTATCACAGAAAATTGCTACGTTCTGCTGCTGGTCGCGGCTTTCTCCCTGTCAGAATTTGCTCGCTTGTGCAAATAACAAACGAAGAAAGGGGGGAGGGGGGGGGGGGGGNGGGGGGGGGGGAGGGAAATCAATTTAGCAAGTGTAAAATGGAAAAACAAACCTAAAAAAAAAGGGGCTCCCCGCAGGCACTTGGCACTTGATGTATACTGTGGGAATGTAGTCTTGGTACATCCAAATTCTGTGAAGAGCCATCCGAGTTTGCCTTGTGATTACATAGTGATCTTCCTATCCAAAACGTCTTGGGACTTTTTTTCCCCGTAAACGCTTGGGAAAAAACAAAAAAAGCATTTGTGCTCACAAAACAAAAAAAGCATTTGTGCTCACAAAACAAAAAAAGCATTTGTGCTCACCTCTTGAGGTGGAAGCAGATTGCGCACCCCCGTGGCCAGGCAGGCTGGAGATTTTGCGCACCCATTTGCATCATTTGCTACCCCTCAGTACAGCAGAATCTGCCATTTCTGTGATATCTGTGTGTGTGCGTGTGTGCTGTCATAGGTTTGCGCACCCATTTGCATCATTTGCTACCCCTCACTATAGCAGAATCTGCCATTTCTGTGATATCCGTGTGTGTGCATGTGTGCTGTCATAGGGCATCGCTGCACTACTCATGACTCGTGAAAAAAATCAAGAGTGGGTCTACAGTTGTCAGAGTCCCGAAACGGCCTAGAGTTCGGTCTTCGCTGCACTCACTTTATCGTCCTCCTGATGAGTAGCTCTTGAGGCGCCTACGGTTCTCCAAGAGTGCAGTGCAGCGACGGCAGAACTCTAGGAAGTTCTGGGACTCATAGCACTGGAATTTTCCCAGCCACGAAACGGCACGCACCGTGGAGGACGGCGCTTCCCTCCCTGGTCCGATAAATGGGATTTCTACAGGCCCGTTCAGCAGCCACCTTCCACCACTCCGTCACTGGGCACACTCGGCAGCCAGTCCCCCCCCCCTTCTTTTTAACCGAAAGTATGGAATTGTACATGCCGTTCATGCCCACCACAGTGGGACCACATGCGAGCAGTTCAAGAGTGCTTCAGAAGCACTAGAAGACAGCCACGGCCTGCCTTGTCCATCCAGACCCGGCTCGCTCTTGAAATCCGACGGCGCTTCAAGAAACAGTCCGACGTCCCTTGCAAAAACCGAAGTTGCAGGTAGGCGAACAAGAGCGCTCTACTCGACGTCGCCTGACGGCGCCCTGACAGCTCATGAAAGGCGTTGACAGCTCATGAAAGGCGTTTTCAAGAGTGACTTGGCAAGAGTAGTGCAGCGACAACAACTCTTTGAAGTTTGCAAGAGTTGCATCTGACAGCTCTTGACGCGTGAAACTACGGCATTGTTCACGAGGAAGTGCAGCAGTGCCGCGCTCATGAACAAGCACATTTCAGCGAGGCCCATATTCCATATACACTCAGGGGACCAAAAGTCTCAAAAATTTGAGGCCTTCGGTTCGGGTTTTTTCAGGCATTTGGTCCCTGTGTGGTCACATGGGCGGACTTGGTCCAGAAAGGAAGTAGCGACCCTGAAACTCTGCACTCAGGGCAAGTGCGCCCTGTCACATGGGGGAGGACCAAACAAAAAGATGGATTTTTTTTTTTGTTTGTTTTTCACTGCAGTATAAAGCCTGGGCCTTCGCTACAATGTAAATGTTTCTGGTTGCACTTTCAGTTGTTTGGGGGGCGTCTTCTTCGTCTACCATTCTCTTCAATTCGCAAACATACAGAAAAAAGTACAGAAAAAAGAACGAACGGTTACCGTAAATTGAGACCACCTCTGGAGGTGGTCTCAAAAAGGGTCCTCTCGCGGCCCCGCAGGCCGCTGACAAAACGGTCACCGTTTGAGGCATTTGGGTAGGGGGCCTCTCCAGTGTGACCCGAAAACTGACTCAAATTTTGGGGTTTAGGGTCTTTTGGTCCTCGTGTGAGTATGCCCTCAGGGCATGGCTCTCCAA